CTTAAGGACCTCGCCAACGACCCCAACATTATCGTCACCACCGCCGACAAAGGAGGTGGAGTCGTCATACTCAACACCAGTGACTACAACACTAAAATGATGGACCTTTTGAATGATCAATCTACATACGAACCCATCAGCACTCAACAGTGGGAGACGCTCACCAAAGACTTTCTATACAAAACCAGACAAATACTCAAACGCACTAGAGAAGGGAAGAAACTTCTGTACTTGTTACCAAGCAACCCTAAACCAGCACACATGTAATGGTTTACCCAAGACCCATAAACACAATATTCCTCTCAGACCAATCACGTCAGGAATAGGCAGTGCTCCACACAAACTAGCCGGAGTTCTTGCCAAACATCTTTCCTGCCTTCTGGGGACCATCAGCCCCGCTCATCTTAAACACTCAGGCGACCTTCTCAACCGCATCCGTAACCTCTCCATCCGTAACAAGAAACTAAGCAGTTTGGATGTGACTTCCCTCTTCACAAAAAGTACCTACCAAAAAAGCCATCGAGGTTCTACGACGTAAAGTCAACCAGGACCTTAATCTTCCTTTACCTCCCGGAGATTTTGTTGACTTGATTGAACTCTGTGTTAACTTCAACTGTTTTTCCTTCAATAACAAGCTCTACAAACAAACCTACGGCATGGGAATGGGGTCCCCAATAAGTGCCGTCCTAGCCAACTTATACATGGAACACCTAGAGTCCGAACACTTCGCCAACATCATCCCTTCAAGCGTCACTTGGTTACGTTACGTGGACGATGTCCTCGTAATAACTCCAAAACGTTTTGATGTACGGGATCTTCAGGCAAGGCTCAACGCAGTTGAACCAGCGATTCAGTTTACACTAGAAGAAGAGTCCAATGACAAGCTACCTTTCCTCGACGTCCTCATTCACAAAGTAGACAACAACCTAAGATTTCAAGTTTATCGGAAACCCACCAATAAAAATGATCTCACACACTTCTATTCCAGTCAAGATACCAAGACCAAAAGAGGCATCATCATCGGGTTTTTCCTAAGAGCATACCGAATTTGTAGTCCTGAGTTTCTTGACGAGGAATGTACTTACATTCACCAAACATTCACTGAGTTACAATTTCCTCCTTTTTTTCATCAAAGACTGCAAGAAAAGAGCTCTTCAGATCATCAATTCTCCACGCATCAACACCGCTCCCAACAAAGTTATAATTCTTCCCAACAGCCAGGTTGCACTAAACGTCTCAAAAGTACTTTCACAAGCTAACACCAGAGTCGCCATCGCTTCTACCACTTCAATAAAGGATCTAACCAGGACAAAACCCAAGCACCACGAACCAGTCAATGCAGGAGTTTACACTATAACCCTGTGGAGGCTGTGACAAGATCTACGTAGGTGAAACAGCAAAAAACCTCGACACCCGCCTCAATGAACACATATACGCATGTAGGAACGACAACTTAAACAACGCCTGTGTACAACACCGAAATTCCACCAATCATCTTATGAAATTCAGAGACGCCCAATTAGTGATAAAAGAAACGAATTTCCGCTCACGCAAGTGCCTTGAATCAGCACTGATCGCTGTTTCGAATACAATTAAACAAAACAACGGCAGCTTCACCATCTCCGAAGTCTTAGCAAGAATCCTCCTGAAAACAGTAAACCCTGCCATCACATAGTCTCTCCTGTTATACTACACAAAGCACAGAGAGTGAACACTGAAACAACCTGCCTCATTCCAGTTTATATTTGTCCAACCTATTTTTATGTTACCCAAGTAATAGCTTTTATATCCTTTTACTCATGTACGAATTAATTGCTCTACCATATTGTATTACTTTTGTCACTACCACTACTACTACTACTACTACTACTACCACTAGTGAACATCGAAATGGTACCTCACTAGTATTCACCTCACTCTGAGCCTTTATATACCCTCTGTGTCCATGTATTGTTTGTAATGGCTTGATAAAGCTCCTGGAGAGCGAAACGTTGCCACAATAAATGTCACATTAGTTGCACTTGTGTCCTTTTACTTTACATATTGTCGGTAATTCTACCAACTTTATTACATCAGAATATATATGTATCTTTAGAAACGAATTGTAAAAACTACTCATAAAACTATGCAAAGAAATGACCCTTAGAGACGACCATAAAAAAAGGACCTCTTAGACACGATCCTGGGTAAGCTAGTTAATGAGGGAATGAGCTAGTTGATGAGGGGGTGAGCTAGTTGATGAGGGGGTGAGCTAGTTGATGAGGGGGTGAGCTAGTTGATGAGGGGGTGAGCTAGTTGATGAGGAGGTGAGCTAGTTGATGAGGGGGTGAGCTAGTTGATGAGGGGGTGAGCTAGTTGATGAGGGGTGAGCTAGTTGATGAGGGGTGAGCTAGTTGATGAGGGGTGAGCTAGTAGATGAGGGGCGAGCTAATTGATGAGGGGTGAGCTAGTTGATGAAGGGCGATCTAGTTGATGAGGGGGTGACCTAGTTGATGAGGGGGTGAGCTAGTTGATGAGGGGGTGAGCTAGTAGATGAGGTGAGCTAGTTGATGAGGGGGTGAGCTAGTTGATGAGGGGGTGAGCTAGTTGATGAGGGGGTGAGCTAGTAGATGAGGAGGTGAGCTAGTTGATGAGGGAGTGAGCTAGTTGATGAGGGGGTGAGCTAGTTGATGAGGGGGTGAGCTAGTTGATGAGGTGGTGATCTAGTTGATGAGGGGTGACCTAGTTTATGAGGGAGTGAGCTAGTTGATGAGGGGGTGAGCTAGTTGATGAGGGGTGAGCTAGTTGATGAGGAGGTGAGCTAGTTGATGAGGGGGTGAGCTAGTTGATGAGGGGTGAGCTAGTTGATGAGGGGGTGAGCTAGTTGATGAGGTGGTGATCTAGTTATGAGGGGTGACCTAGTTTATGAGGGAGTGAGCTAGTTGATGAGGGGGTGAGCTAGTTGATGAGAGGGTGAGCCAATTGATGAGGGGTGAGCTAGTTGATGATGGGCTGAGCTAGTTGATGAGGGGGTGAGCTAGTTGATGAGGGTAGCTAGTTGATGAGGGGTGACAGTTGATGAGGGTGAGCTAGTTGATGAGGAGGTGAGCTAGTTGATGAGGGGGTGAGCCAGTTGATGAGGAGGTGAGCTAGTTGATGAGGGGTGAGCTAGTTGATGATAATGGGGGGTGATGATTGTGTAGCGTTATGTTGATGAGGGGTGAGTTGTTGATGAGGGTGATAAGGATGAGCTAGTTGATGACTGGGGTGAAGCAGTTGATGAGGAGGTGAGCTAGTTGAATGAGGTGGTAGTGAACGAGCAGTTGATGATGGTGGTAGAAGCTAGTTGATGAGGGGTGAGCAGTGTGACATGAAATGGTGGTTAGACGAAGCATTGTGAGTATAGACTGTGTGTATAACGAAGCAGTGTACCAGACTGTGTATAAGAGCAGTGTGACCATGACTGGTGGTTATAACGAGCAGTGTGACCCTAACTGTGTATAACGAAGCAGTGTGACCATGACTGGTGGTATAACGAGGCAGTGTGACCATGACTGGTGGTATAACGAAGCAGTGTGACAATGACTGGTGGTATAACGAAGCAGTGTGACCATGACTGGTGGTATAACGAAGCAGTGTGATCATGACTGGTGGTATAACGAAGCAGTGTGACCATGACTGGTGGTATAACGAAGCAGTGTGACCATGACTGGTGGTATAACGAAGCAGTGTGATCATGACTGGTGGTATAACGAAGCAGAGGTGTCACTGGTCCACAAGTATATACGATATACCATAATAAAGCCCAAGTGGGCGTTATTCCTTTTATTATATTATTCGTTATTAACACACTAGCAGTCTCACACCGAGATAGGGTAACCTGAAAACAAGAGGAAACACGTTCACCATCATTCATTCAGTCACTGCTTTGACGCAAGCGTGTTGACATTGCAGTTTAGATGCCCTCACTGAGTCACATTATCTCCACCCCTCCTTCAGAGTACAAGCAGAGTACTTCCCACCTCCAGGATTGCAACATTCCCACCCTCCTTCAGAGTACAGACTCTGTACTTCCCACCTCCAGGACTGCAACATTCCCAACCCCTCCTCCAGAGTCCAGACACTATACTTCCCACCCCCGGGACTGCAACATTCCCACCCCTCCTTCAGAGTCCAGACACTGTACTTCCCACCTCCGGGACTGCAACATTCCCACCCCTCCTTCAGAGTCCAGACACTGTACTTCCCACCTCCGGGATTGCAACATTCCCACCCCTCCTTCAGGGTCCAGACACTGTGCTTCCCACCTCCGGGACTGTAACATTCCCACCCCTCCTTCAGAGTCCAGACACTGTACTTCCCACCCCCGGGACTGCAACATTCCCACCCCTCCTTCAGAGTCCAGACACTGTACTTCCCACCCCCGGGACTGCAACATTCCCACCCCTCCTTCAGAGTCCAGACACTGTACTTCCCACCTCCGGGACTGCAACATTCCCACCCCTCCTTCAGGGTCCAGACACTGTACTTCCCACCTCCGGGACTGTAACATTCCCACCCCTCCTTTAGAGTCCAGACACTGTACTTCCCACCTCCGGGACTGCAACATTCCCACCCCTCCTTCAGAGTCCAGACACTGTACTTCCCACCTCCTGGACTGCAACATTCCCACCCCTCCTTCAGAGTCCAGACACTGTACTTCCCACCTCCGGGACTGCAACATTCCCACCCCTCCTTCAGAGTCCAGACACTGTACTTCCCACCTCCGGGACTGTCTCGGGATACTCCCCAGATAGGGAGCCAAGGCCGGGTCACCACTACTTAGAAAAGACCCGGGCCAGGAGAATACCGGCGAATAAGAAAAAAAATAAAAATTCCCTCCCCTCCTTCAGAGTACTTCCCTCAATCCCGACAAGTTGAAAAATAAGACTATAGTGCATCATTTGGGTATCTTTCTTACCCCCCCCCCCCCCATACCTAAGTGTTGCATATATATCTTATTCGCCCGTTGTGCTTCGTACCTGATATAGCGAAGCCGGAGAAGCCGACGGCGAGGGTGAGGGCGGTGATGGCTACTGTGGTGCTCCTGCTAAAAGCCACCACGAGCAGGAACACTGCCTCTAGGCCGAACCCGCCACAGTTGAAGACCTTCCTGACGTTGGTGGTGGAGAGGATCTTGTTCTTGCGAATGTGGTCGGCCAACTGGCCACCGAAGGGAACAACGATGGTCATGACCAGGTGAGGGAGCGCTGAGATCGTCCCGCTCTGCCGTGGACACACACGTCATGCATGGAAGACGTTAGCGTGGTTGAGATAATTAACAGCTAGGTCACATGCTGTAGTTGAAAAGTAGGCGACTTTTCGGTTAGTTTTGGATCACTGTGGTTCAACCCAGTAGAATGGCTATAGCCTTGCCTCTGGTTACAGGCGCCTGGGGATCACTTGTCAAGCGAATAATATCCCAGTAAAACGATACAAATTTTGGATCATTGTTATGTAGCGAGTGATAATGACCGACGACACACTGAAATAGTCGCTTAGTTTTCAACTGAAACTTCTGTGTAAGTTAATCGTTACATCCTCTCCCTATGTTAGCTTTGAATGGGACTCCGATGATATTAAAACATATAGTAGGAGTTTATGATGATTTTGTTTTCATTATTCACCAAAGTTAACTCATTAAAGCTATGTCATCAAACTGTCTGTTTTATTTCCATTAGGGTCCTTTAATCCTCTAAGGCCATAGGATGCGACTCACAGCAGTCGCCTAACACCCAGGTACCTACATACTACAAGGTGAGCAGGGCAGCGGATGTAAGGAAATTTGCCCAACGCTTCAGTTCGTCCGAGGATCGAATCCGGACCTTCAATGTGTGAGCTGAGGGCTCTACGCCTAGTGATGCCAAGAAGCACTTTGCTAAGTTATCCTACACTAAACCTTCATAGTTTATCACCATTGTATGTTCTCACTATGTCTTAACATAACCATTACCTATACTTGACAAGAAAGGAAAAGGCTAAGGGGGCTGAAGCTCTTCAAATAACGGCTAATATTCAGTTTTAAATTGACCAGTGACCACAAAAGCAAGATCGTTTAAGGAACTTATAAACAGTACTCCGAGGATGAGTACTCGAAACCATATAACGCATGAGACTAAAGGAAGTACCTTGGCCACATCGTAGCGGAAGACCTCGGTGAAGTATGTTGGCTGTGAGATGATTAGGAGATAAAATGTCCACGAACGAGCTATGTTAGCCACGATGATCGCCCACACCGGCATCGACGTGGCGATCGCCCGCCATGGAGTCGAGGTGAATGTGGGCTGCAACGCTGGCTGTGGAGTGGATGAAGAGTTAGGGCCAGTACAGTTAGGTTCAGCAGAGTTAGGTCCAGCAGAGTAGGTCCAACAGAGTAGGTGCAGCAGAGTTGGGTCCAGCAGACTGGTACTGACTTACGAACGCATTTTGTGCTTATACCCTAAGAGCAGCCTGAAGTTTGTCATGTATCAGATATCCCAGACATCATACTGAGGGGAGGTGTAAATACCATACAGAGTGGACGTATACCGCACATTTGACCACTGCCTAGGAGCACCTTGGACATACCCTGCATCGACACTGGTATACCTGGTTATACTCACTGTATCACATCTGATATAACTGAAAGACTCAGTACTGAAAAAAGGGAAAAGATATACAGATTTTTTTTTGTAACTTGTTTGTGAAAAAAACCCGAAAATCTTTCTGATTCCTCAGCGTGTCATCAATGCTTGACATTAACGGTGAGCATCAGTCGTGTGCATTGACGGTACACAACAATGGTGCACATAATCGGTGAACATCAATGATGTATAAATTATGGGCATCAATGGTGCAAATCAATGATGAAAATCAATGGTGCGCATCTGTGGTGCACATCAATGGTTTGCAACAATGATGGGCATCAACGGTATGCATCAATGTTACAAATCAATAGTGTGTTGATGCCCACCATTGGTTCAAATCATTGGTGGGGATCAACGGTACACATCAATGGTGCACATCAATGGTGCACATCAATACTGCACATCAGTGGTGTACATTAATGGTGCAAATAAATGATGCGCATCATTGGTGTACATCAATGGTGCACATCAAGAGTGGTGTGCATCAATAGTACGCATCAATGGTGTGCATCAATGATGCACGTCAATTTTGTAAATCAGTGTTTATCATCAATGGTGTACGATTTACATCAGTAGTGCGTATTAATTTTGCACTATGTGCGTCATTGATGCATTTGAATGGTATACAATGCACTTCAAGAAATCACATAAATGGTGTACAATGCACATCAATGGGAACATCAGTGGAGTACACCAATAGTTCAAATTACTTGTGTAAAGACCAACCATGATATACATCAATGTTGCACATCAGTGGTGCAGCACATTAGTGGGGCAGTACATCAATGGTGCACATCAGCAGTGCAGCACATTAGTGGGGCAGTACATCAGTGGTGCACATCAATAGTGCAATACATCAATGGTGTACATAAATAGTGCAGTAATCAATATTGCACATCAATAGTGCAGTCATCAATTGTGTACATAAACAGGGTAAATCAGTGATGTAAAACAATGGTATAAATCAGTGGTGAACATCAATGGTGAACATCAATGCTAAACATCAATGGTGAACATCAATAGTGAACATCAATAATGAAAATCAATGGTGAACGCCAATGGTGAACATCAGTGGTGAACATCAATGGTAAACGCCAATGGTGAACATCAATGGTGAACGCCATGGTAAACATCAATAGTGAACATGAATGGTGAACATGAATGGTGAACATCAATGGTGAACATCAATGGTGAACATCAATGGTGAACATCAATGGTGAACATCAATGGTGAACATCAATGGTGACCATCAATGGTGAACATCAATGGTGAACATCAATGGTGAACATCAATGGTGAACATCAATGGTGAACATCAATGGTGAACATCAATGGTGAACATCAATGGTGTAGTCACGCTGATTGAAGAACTAGAAAAAGTTTACAAGGTCGAGTAATTAAGGTTCTATTTTGTCTACAGTGAAAGAAAAATGTTGAGGTTGTAAATGAAAGAAGTTGTAAATGAAAGAAGTTGTAAATGAAAGAAGTTGTAAATGAAAGAAGTTGTAAATGAAAGAAGTTGTAAATGAAAGAAGTTGTAAATGAAAGAAGTTGTAAATGAAAGAAGTTGTAAATGAAAGAAGTTGTAAATGAAAGAAGTTGTAAATGAAAGAAGTTGTAAATGAAAGAAGTTGTAAATGAAAGAAGTTGTAAATGAAAGAAGTTGTAATAATGAAAGAAGGTTGTAAATTTGAAAGAAGTTGTAAATGAAAGAAGTTGTAAATGAAGGAAGTTGTAAATGAAAGAAGTTGTAAATGAAGGAAGTTGTAAATGAAGGAAGTTGTGTAAATGAAAGAAGTTGTAAATGAAAGAAGTTGTAAATGAAGGAAGTTGTAAATGAAGGAAGTTGTAAATGAAAGAAGTTGTAAATGAAGGAAGTTGTAAATGAAGGAAGTTGTAAATGAAGGAAGTTGTAAATGAAGGAAGTTGTAAATGAAAGAAGTTGTAAATGAAGGAAGTTGTAAATGAAAGAAGTTGTAAATGAAAGAAGTTGTAAATGAAAGAAGTTGTAAATGAAAGAAGTTGTAAATGAAAGAAGTTGTAAATGAAGGAAGTTGTAAATGAAGGAAGTTGTAAATGAAAGAAGTTGTAAATGAAAGAAGTTGTAAATGAAGGAAGTTGTAAATGAAGGAAGTTGTAAATGAAAGAAGTTGTAAATGAAAGAAGTTGTAAATGAAGGAAGTTGTAAATGAAGGAAGTTGTAAATGAAAGAAGTTGTAAATGAAGGAAGTTGTAAATGAAGGAAGTTGTAAATGAAAGAAGTTGTAAATGAAGGAAGTTGTAAATGAAGGAAGTTGTAAATGAAAGAAGTTGTAAATGAAGGAAGTTGTAAATGAAGGAAGTTGTAAATGAAAGAAGTTGTAAATGAAGGAAGTTGTAAATGAAGGAAGTTGTAAATGAAGGAAGTTGTAAATGAAGGAAGTTGTAAATGAAGGAAGTTGTAAATGAAAGAAGTTGTAAATGAAGGAAGTTGTAAATGAAAGAAGTTGTAAATGAAGGAAGTTGTGATGACAAAAGGCAGTAAATGGAAGTAGACTATATAAAAACTTGTGAACTTCAAGAGTACTTTACCTATTTCATGAGCCACTGCAGACTGAGAGAACCAAGCTCTGACAGCAGACTCGACCCCCAGCTGACACGCATAGGTGAGTACACACACACACACACACACACACACACACACACACACACACACACACAACACACACACACACACACACACACACACACACACACACACACACACACGAGTGACCGGGTAGCGTCCAGTTGAAGAGGCGGAGCCAGGAGCTGTGAATCGACCCCCTCAACCACAATTAGGTGAGTACAACTAGGTGAACACACACACATACACACACCTGCTTGCCCAAGCTCTCCTCGATGTACAGTTGTTCCCTGGCACTGATGGTCGGATGTGTGGATGGCTTCTCAAAGGCCAGCCAGTACCAGAAAAAGCCCCAGGTGATGCCAGCCATACCTGAGGGTGCCAAAGTGGGATAGTTAAATACACCAGCAGAGTGCCAAGGTGGGATAGTTAGGTGCACCTGCAGAGTTCCAAGGTGGGATAGTTAGGTGCACCTGCAGAGTGCCAAGGTGGGATAGTTAGGTGCACCAGCAGAGTGCCAAGGTGGGATAGTTATCTATTCGTTTACCTCTAAAATTACCTTATGATCTGTTTACTTCAGACCATCACACTTTGCAGTTCTTACCATGTCTGAAATATACAGTCCAAATAATGTAAGAAAATAAGCACCCAAAAGCATTATGAGAATTATTTTCCCATATATGCAAATATAAATATATAAAATATATATATATATATATAATATATATATATATATATATATATATATATATATATATATATATATATATATATATATATATATATATATATATATATATATAATATATCCTAGGTAGTAGGTTGATAGACAGCAACCGCCCAGGGAGGTACTACCGTCCTGCCAAGTGAGTGTAAAACGGAAACCTGTAATTGTTTTACATGATGGTAGGGTTGCTGGTGTCTTTTTTGTCTCATAGACATGAAAGATTTCAGGTACGTCTTGCTACTTCCTCTTACACTTAGGTCACACTACACATACATGTACAAGCATATGTATACATGTATATACACACCCCTCTGGGTTTTCTTCTATTTTTTTACTAGTTCTTGTTCTTGTTTATTTCCTGTTATCTCCATGGGGAAGTGGAACAGAATTCTTCCTCCGTAAGCCATACGTGTCGTAAGAGGCGATTAAAATGCCGGGAGCAAGGGGCTAGTAACCCCTTCTCCTGTATATATTACTAAATGTAAAAGGAGAAACTTTCGTTTTTTCTTTTGGGCCACCCCGCCTCGGTGGGATACGGCCGGTGTGTTGAAATAATATATATATATATATATATATATATATATATATATATATATATATATATATATATATATATATATATATATATATATATATATATATATAATAGAAAATAAATTATGAAAGGTTTCGTGAATTTGGTCAGTGAACCGGGTCCCAGAACCCAGTAAGTGAACTTAGTCCGTGAACCAGATCCCCCGACCTGGTCTTCGAACGCGGACTAAGAACAAAAACCGTGAAAGAAGTTGGCGAGGGCAGTAGTAGGTACCGTAGAAGTAGAAGGGTGCAGGCCAGCCGATGCCCTCGGTGAGGTAGGCTGAGAGTGGCATGCCCAGGACGGCGCCAGCGTAACTACCACAGAAGGCCAGGGTGGCCAGGCGTGACCTCTCCAGGGGTGGCGACCAGCTCCTCCAGATGCCGTGACACGCAGGGTAGGTCACACCCTGCGACATACATCCAGGAGGCCACACAAATGAAGTTAGTTTCAAAACATGGATATGTATGTATGTATGTATATATATATATATATATATATATATATATATATATATATATATATATATATATATATATATATATATATATATATATATATATATATATATATATATATAAACTTTATTTATTGACAATACATTTACAAAAAAGCACGAACATGAATAAATACATTGGTGCAATATATCATAGATTATAAATCTCCTCCAGCTCCTCCGAAACCAGACGCGAGCCCAATATACAGCACGCATTTCTCCTCTGGATGGCCACGTTGAGGCGCAGGTCCCTGGTGATCTCGATGAGTCTGAAACCCAGTTCTTTAAGGAAACGTGTGACGTTTTTTTTCCCCATGATCCCAAGGTCTCTGATCCCACTGAGAGAAATTGATACTGTTGGCTTATGTCTCTGTACTTTCCGATCTTGTACTCTTCCCTGCCGCCCGACACTGTGATGGATGTAGGTGTCAGCCAGCGTCTACATGAAGGTATAGTCCCATGCTAAAAATTTGCCATTCTTCCAAGGATAGATGGCGTAATTTAATTTAGCCTAATCCAGCTAAATATATTTTAAATAAATTTACAATAATTTAATAATAAACATACACAATGAAGTATATTTATTTTCGTTAAGTTTAGAATGATTTTTGCAAAATTATTGCATACACAAATTTTGGCATGTCTTACATATATTATATATATATATATAATATAATATATATATATATATATATATTATATATATATATATATATATATATATATATATATATAATATATATATATATTGCATATATACATATATGCAAAACAACCATTGTGAAAGAATAGTGAAATTCTAAGCTCTTTCGTGACTTGCCACAGTATCAAGGGACTATAAAAACAATATATCAAAGGAAGGCATATAAAGGGTCAAGACTACACCCCACCATCACAACAAAGCAACACCTCACACACGCGTCACAACACCCGACTCTGTGAAACTCGCCTAATACTCTACCTAAGAATTAAGATTTATTACTTGTTTAATGTATCGTTAAATTCTTCCCAAATTTTATTAATTATAAATGAATCCAATTTATTTAAACCAAAGGAAATATTCATATTATTGTCAAAACTGCTTTTTATGAAACAAGATTCAATTATATTCCTGTCGACCATGGACTTGCTTGATACAACTTTCTCAGCATTTTGAAAATCAATTGGATGGTTAAAATCTCTCACATGAATAAATAGAACATTGGAATCTTGTCCAGTTCTAATGCTATATTTATGTTGTTTTCAATCTTAGTTCGAGTCTTTTACCAGTTTGACCGTAATAAACTTTATCACAAATTTTACAAGGAATCTTATAGACACATCCATCAGCATTTTGGGGGGAATTCTTTATCAAAAGTTTTTTTTTACTGCATCAAGATTTTTAAATACAACTTTTGATATTAAAAGTCTTAAGAAGAGAAGGCATATCAACCAAGTTTTCATGGTAAGGGAGAACCGACATATTTTTAGTTGAATAAGGTTGGTTGGTCCTTTTTGGATTGTAAAAAGTACTTATAGCAATTTTAAAATATTTATCAGTTACGTTTCTTGGGTATTTCAAATCATTAGCTGCTTCATAATTTTTTATATTTCTTCATCTATAAACTCTGGACTACAAATACGCAAAGGTCTCAAAAACATTGATGAGAAAACCTACAGTTTAACTCTCTCTTGATGTAAAGAATAATAGTGTACATAGGAAGAGTTATTTGTAGGTTTTCTGTAAATTTTAAATTTGAATTCATTATTACCCTTAATAATTAAAACATCTAGAAAAGACAATGAGTCATTTTCTTCGAATTCGACAGTAAAGTTTATAGATTGGGTTAAGCTATTTAATTTAACAAGGAAATTGTTTATACCTACATTCTTAGGCATAAGACACAAAATATCATCAACATATCTGAACCATTTAGTTCTATTAGAGAGGATTGTGTTAAGCAGTCTTGCTTCAATAACTTCCACGTATAGCTTACTAAGAACAGGTGAAAGAGGATTTCCCATTGCCATACCAAACTTCTGAGTATAAAACTTATCATTCAATACAAATTTTGCATCAACAATGCAGAGTTTAATAAGTTTAATGACAGTAGGAACTGACAATGGTAAATCGTGATTAACAAGTTCTTCAGATAAGAAAATTAATAAATCATCAACTGGAATTTTTGTAAACAAGGAAGTAACATCAAAATTAACCATGTTAAAATCACTTAAGTCAATCAAGGAGCTTAATATATCAACTAAATCTATGTTGTTTTTACCATTAAAGTTAGAAATTTTAACCCTCCAATTTATTTTCAAAAGGCTGAAAAGTTATATCAAGCAAGTCCATGGTCGACAGGAATGTAATTGAATCATGTTTCATAAAAAGTAGTTTTGAAAATAATATGAATATTTCCTTTGGTTTATATGAATTGGGTTCATTTATAAGTAATAAAATCTAGGAAGAATTTAATGATACATTAAACAAGTAATAAATCTTAAATCTTGGGTAGAGTGTTAGGTGTGTTTCACAGATTCGGATGTCGTTGCACATGTGTGAGGTGTTGCTTTGTTGTGGGATGTGATGGTGAGGTGTAGTCTTGACCTTTAACATACCTTCCTTTGATGTTTTTATAGTTCCTCGTTAATGTGAAAAGTGAAGAAAGCGCTTGGAATTTCACTATTCTTTCAGAGTGGTTGTTATGCATATTCTGATATCACCTGTTTACTGCGATCTTATTGCATATATATATATATATATATATATATATATATATATATATATATATATATATATATATATATATATATATATATATATATATATATATATTATAGGGATACCACCTCTGGAATTGTCCTGGGGACCCTATGAGAAAAGAATAAATTTGCTTCAGGGAATACTCAAGGTGCTCCCTGAAGCTGTTTGAAAATTGTTTTCTCCTACCCCCTTCCCCATATTTTATCAATACTTTATTTAAAGACAAAAATACATTGACAAAATACATTGACAAAATACAATAGAGAGTAAAACGACACAGATAACAACTCAGAGGTACATCTCGAATACTTCGTCCAGCTCCCCGGCGGTGGGCCGCGTGCCCAGAATGCTGCAGGCATTTTCCCTCTGGATCGCAACGTTGAGTCTTCTATGATGAGTTTTTCACCCAGCTCTTTGAGGAACTTTAAAGCACCTTTGCTCCATGGGTCTCCGACCCTATTGGGATGAAGTTATAACAAGGGGGAAGGTCTTCATATTTGCGGGTATTCTGGGTCTCCCTGTGGCTAGCAGCTCCACCTCCTTCAGCTAAGGAGTATGTCAAGTAGGTGTCTTCCAGTGTGGCAGCACAGGTGTAGTCCCAGGCAATCTGCTTTCCATCCTTCCAGGATAGCATAGTGGCTCAAAAAGAGACCACAGGAAGTGCAAATTGATATTTAGACCTCCTTTCCATTCATGATTGGAATCATGAATGATTAAGCAAAAGGAATCTGGCTGGCGAAATGGGCAACTTTCACAAGCAGCAAGGTCCACTGAGAAGGGGAGGGAGAAACTGGTGAGAGAAGAGGGTGGTGGAAGAGAGAGAGAGAGAGAGAGAGAGAGAGAGAGAGAGACAGAGAGAGAGACGAGAGAGAGAGAGAGACGAGAGAGAGAGGAGAGAGAGAGAGAGAGAGAGAGGAGAGAGAGAGAGAGAGAGAGAGAGAGAGAGAGAGGAAAGAGAGAGACAGAGAGAGACAGAGAGAGACAGAGAGAGACAGAGAGAGAAGAGAGAGAGAGGAGAGAGAGAGAGAGAGAGAGGAGAGAGAGAGAGAGAGAGAGAGAGAGAGAGAGAGAGAGACAGAGACAGACAGACAGAGGGGAGGGAGGAAGGGAAGAGCGAAAGGGCTGAAGAATGAGACTGGAAGGTCATTATCGATATTAAACTCGGAGAAATTAGGAATCATTTAAAGTGTTTGATGATAATGTTAGTGTTGTGGCACCATAATGGAGACCTTTATGTGGCTTCCCATTGCTCGTTTTTTACTCATTAACTGATTGCTCCGCTTCTACTTTATTATATATATATAAAAAATTAGATTTTACTGTTGGGAAAATGCGAGAGCACTGTTATTCCTTCACTGCTGCTGCTGCCTCCTTCACTGCTACTGCTGCCTCCTTCACTGCTACTGCTGACTCCTTCACTGTTATTGTTGCCTCCTTCACTGCTGCTGCTGCCTCCTTCACTGCTACTGTTGCCTCCTTCACTGCTACTGCTGACTCCTTCACTGCTACTGTTGCCTCCTTCACTGCTACTGCTGCCTCCTTCACTGCTATTGTTGCCTCCTTCACTGCTGCTGCTGCCTCCTTCACTGCTACTGTTGCCTCCTTCACTGCTACTGCTGACTCCTTCACTGCTACTGCTGCCTCCTTCACTGCTACTGCTGACTCCTTCACTGCTACTGATGACTCCTTCACTGTTATTGTTGCCTCCTTCACTGCTGCTGCTGCCTCCTTCACTGCTACTGTTGCCTCCTTCACTGCTACTGTTGCCTCCTTCACTGCTACTGCTGACTCCTTCACTGCTACTGTTGCCTCCTTCACTGCTACTGCTGCCTCCTTCACTGCTATTGTTGCGTCCTTCACTGCTGCTGCTGCCTCCTTCACTGCTACTGTTGCCTCCTTCACTGCTACTGCTGACTCCTTCACTGCTACTGCTGCCTCCTTCACTGCTAATGCTGCCTCCTTCACTGCTACTGCTGCCTCCTTCACTGCTACTGCTGACTCCTTCACTGATACTACTGACTCCTTCACTGCTACTGCTGCCTCCTTCACTGCTACTGCTGCCTCCTTCACTGCTATTGTTGCCTCCTTCACTGCTACTGCTGCCTCCTTCACTGCTACTGCTGCCTCCTTCACTGCTACTGCTGCCTCCTTCACTGCTACTGCTGCCTCT